TAAGTCAACCTTTTGTTTCCTTTTCTTAGCTGCTTAATGTAGGTTGTCAGACTTCATCTGTCCTGGCTGAGATCAAGTCCGTGCAATTTCATAGATGATACCGCATGGGCAAGAAGTTACTTTTTTGCGGTGCTGGTAGGGAAGCAATTTTAGAGACGCACAGACTTGGCCCATTATTTTTGGTTTTTTTCCCCCTGCCTTCTTCTCTGAAGACTACCACTGTTGACCCAGATTTCACTTCTACGTCAAGTCTCCGGTATCCTGAAGACTTTTGCTTTTGCCTTAGTGCTACTGTGCTCAAGCAAAAGTTTTCTTCTCTCTTCTTTAATAACCACAATACAGAGTCCAAAGCACTGCACAGCTACACTGTTGTCTTTCAGTCAGTGGATGAGGGATAAAGTAAGAAAAGCTTTTGTAATTGTTCATTTGATTCTGTGTTTCAGCTTGTAGCATACCATGACTAAGGATATTCTTCCCCTTTAGAATGTTTTCCCGGATCAATTTAGAAGGCAGCATTTGTGTAACCATAAACCAAACCAAGGCTTGGTCCTGCCAAATTTTTGTGCAAGGGGAAGTCCTCAAAGAAAAAGAACAACTTTCTATAGAGAGAGACCAGTAGCTGTATAGCTGAAGACCCTTTTCGTTAGGATGGTCTTAACTGAGACTCCTCTGAGCATGTTTCTTATGTGATTTGAGAAGTACTTCTCTACTGATCCCCATGATGCAATTATTTTAAGCCACAAAATTAAGGGCTTAGGTGGCCTCAGCATGGATCAAGGTATTGGAGTGTTTGGGCCTCGCCTGGCAACCAGACCTTATTTGCCAGCCTTGACATTAAATCTGATAGCTGGCCTTGCTGCATCGGTTTTCATTTCTTTCTGACACTCGTGATGTCCACTAAAGGAAGCCTTTTAGGTGGAATGCTTTGAAATATTTATGCAAATAAAAGACTTCTGGAAAAAGAGCTTAAAGCTGAGTTGAATTGGCTTTGCCAGGGATTTGGGTGTCTGTCTTGTTTTTCGTAGTTTGGCACCCTCTTAGCGAAATGAAGAATGAAAACCAGTAATTTCAGAAATAATTTAGGGCTAGCAATTAGCTGGAGAAACACATTTTTCTGCCATCTCTAATAGTCTGATGAGCAACAGTTTCTATCCAGGGTGACCTTGGTTGATGTTTCTCAAGATCCTCGTTAGTAGTTTTGAATCCTCAGGTGCTGAGAGACTCCTGGGTATAATATGAGAGAGTCGGGGAGATCCATGAAACCTTAGTAACCCATTATATGCCATTCATCTGTAAAAGCTTTTTTTTAAGTAGTCATTGCTTCAGTTCAAAATCTTCACAGCAGGTTATCTTTATTTTTTTATTTAAACAGGATATCTTAAAGTCTTCTGCCTGTAATTAACTGAATAAACCAATACATGCATCTTTCTGGCTTTATTCTGAGGGACAATGTTCCACCCCCCCCCCCCCCCCCACATATTACTTGATTTTGTAAGCGGCTCAAGATAATTGAGTAAAATCCAGATGTTGCTCTTTATTGAGTCAAGGAGCATCTAGTTTCTTCACGGAATTTACATACGTGTTTATCCAACTGGGTAATGGAAAATAATGAGTTAGCAATATTAGAATTTCTCTGCTGTACAAGTAGGTCTTATTGCCTGCTTAAATGCTGTGCCTAAGCATAATTTTTTAATGATGAAGCTTCATTACAATTCTGTGAAAGATTTATGGTTGGGTTTATTTTTATTTTTTCTTTGTTTGGAAAGGGTCTTAAACTGAATTCCCGTTTCTAAAGGGCTGAACAGCAGTTGCTTTTGAAATAGGACCTGTCTTTACCCATACAAGCAGCTAAGTGTCTGCCAACTGAAGTGAAACACCTGTGCTGTAGGATCCTGAAAAAAAAGTTAGTTGTCTGCAGTAATTGTGTTATTTCAGCAGGTGCTGTGTAAAGAGTATCCGTGAGCTGTTCCTCAATTCTTCCTTCTATGTTTTGAAAAAATGGCTTAGCTGGTCCCTCTCAGTCTTAGAGAAATGCTCTCAGACTATGAAAAGATAGTTATGTAATCCAGACTCACATGTGGGATATATGCATAGCAAAATTGGATATTTTTGACAGGAAACGTGGAATTTGTGTGTTATTCGTGGACTTTGTATGAGTGATGTTGTCTGTGTTATGAAGATGCATGCAAAATCTGTGTAACGGTGTATTTTCTGTGTTATCTAGTCTCTTTTAAATAAAAACACATTATGCAACTATCTTTTTTTGTTTTCATAGCGATATCACACCCCGCCTCGATCACGATCGTGTTCTGAATCTGATGATGATGAGAGCAGTGAGACCCCTCCTCACTGGAAAGAGGAAATGCAGAGATTACGAACATACAGACCACCGAGTGGAGAAAAGTGGAGTAAAGGCGATAAGTAAGATCCTTACTACGAATTTAAAACGTCTTGGTGTTTTACACAAGCATTAATAGATCGTGTAGATGTGCTATGTCGTTCATGTTTGAATAAAAAATGTAAATATCTTTGGTTAACACATTCCATAAATTCTGAAAATTAGAAGTGGAAAACTTTTCTTAAAACCTTTCTGCTTCGCTGACGTGACACCGGATGAACACATGCTGAAAAGCGTCAGAAGAATTGTTTCTGGTGGTGCCATCTTGGATACTTATTTAAGAAATAATTAATTGACGTGTCCACTTTCCTGTTGCTTTCCATAGAGGTAGTCATCTCAGATTTTCTTCAGCCTCTAACTTGGTTATACGGTTTCTTTTGGATACCAAAGACGACAATCAAATCCACCAATCCTGTATTGGTTTAGTTACATGTTCTTTCTGCAGGTGCAAACTCTGTGATGGAAGCCCAACTCTGCAGAATTTCTAATTGCTCGATACTAAACATAAGCTTGTTTCAAATGACAATAGATAAACCCCAAAAGCAAAACTGAAAGATATTTATGTAATCATTACTGAATAGTCAAAGGTTGATAAGTCTTTTTGTATGCTGAGTGCTTTCAGTTTATTGATGTACTGCAGCATACCAGCTAAAAGAATACTAAATAAGATGAAGTTTTTAAATTTGTATTTAAACGTGGTTTATGAATCCTGTAGTTGTAGTGGTAGCTGTAACTACCCAAAGTCCTATGGACTTTAACATTAAACATTAAATCTCTTTACATAGGTTCTACAGTATGCAAAACTTGCTGACGTTGGCTAATTCATTTCGTAGAAGTAGCTCTCTTGATGGTGGTGTAATTCCACATCTTAGAATGAGTGTAACAAGCTCAGTCAAAACATGGTTGTCTGGGAGTAAAGCAGGGATGCTGTTAATTGTTTTTAAACTTCATTAATTGCCCTGGAGGAGGGGGAAGTACTTAATTCATCAGAATTTTTTAAAAAGATTTTCCGCTTAACGTGGGGCTTATTTGTTTGTTTTTAAGGTTGAGTGATCCATGCACAAGCAGATGGGATGAAAGAAGTGCATCCCGGAGATCAAGATCTTGGTCACACAACGGTTATTCTGATGTAAGCACGGTGAGATATTCCAGCCATCACAAAAAGCACAGAAAAGAGAAAAAGAAGGTGAAACATAAAAAGAAATCTAAAAAGCAGAAGCATTTCAAGAAGCACAAGCAAACAAAAAAAAAGAAAACATCAGCCTCATCAGATGTAGAATCCTCTCACTCTTTCAAGGACAAAATCATCTTGCAATCGTGAGAGGAAATCTCGTTCTTCTTCATTGTCTTCTAGACACTCATCTAGAAGAGGCTGGTCCAAATCTGATAAGGAGGACCAGAGTTCGTCGACTTTATCAAGCAGAGGGACTCGATCATACTACAGGTCAAGGTCCAGATCCAGATCTAGGTCAAAATCAAGATCTTACTCTCGAAGAAGTTCTAGGTCAAGATCAGCCTCTAAATCATCACACTCTCGAAGTAGGTCAAGTTCTAACCCTAGGCATCAGAAGACAGTTTCTAGTTCTCCACGAAATATTTCAACACGATTAAATGAAAGTAAGTTGAACAAGACTGCTGAACCTGTAAGAGCAGTTATACTCCCGAGTGATAAAGTTGTCGTACCACCAGTTGTCCCGGAAAACCTCCCTGTTATACCCTTAAGCGATAGCCCACCACCTTCAAGGTGGAAACCCGGGCAGAAACCGTGGAAGCCATCTTACGAGCGAATTCAGGAGATGAAAGCTAAAACAACCCATTTAATACCCGCACAAACTAATTACAGTTTAGTAGCTGTTAAAGAGACGAACGCTTCGTCCTCACACCGTAAGCGCCAAAGGAGTTCAGACAGTGACCGAAGCGATTATTCCAAATATCATAGTGACAGAAGCTCAGATAGTTGGCTAAGATCAAGAAGCAGATCCTCTCGGAGCAGGTCATACTCAAGGTCTTCTACGAGATCTAGAAGTCCATCTAGCTCTAGGACAAAATCTCGTTCTTCTGGTAGATCACCATCACTGAGTAAATACCGCAGTGACAGGTCAGGTTATAGTGAGTCGACATCTTCTTATTCCCTTAGTGATGACGGTAGACACAGAAGCAAAAGAAAATGTGCACCAAGTGATCAGAACGCTCCATCTCTTAAACTGAGGCAAGAAACGAGCTCTGAAAGTACCCTCCCTTATAAGCATACAAAAGACTACGAGGAGTCTTCTCAAGGATTGAAAGAGAGTGACAGCTTATCATCTTCAGACTTCTCTACTGATAGTGAGCGTTCTGCCAAAATGAAAGTAGTCCAAGGAAAAGAAGGCCATTTTCAGTTAGGAGGAGACACTCAGGATAAAAATAGCTTAAGTTCAGAGAGAGGGGAGGAGAAATCCAAGCGTGAGCAGGATTCTGATCGTGCTAAAAGGAAAGCAGCTAAGGAGAAATCTTCTGAGGATCCTAGAGGTGGTGCAAAAACGAAACGCAAATCCTACTCAGGTAGTAAATGGGACTCTGAATCAAATTCCGAAAGAGGAGAGGCAAGGCATAACAGGGCAGGTTCCAGACCTGCATCTAGTAAAGAAGAAGGAGAGGCCACATCAGGATCTGATACAGAGCTTAGTGTTACTAAAAGGATAAAAAAACAATCAAATTCTTCCGAAGGCTTTCTGGATTCCGATGGTACATGGAAGACAAACAAACAGTTGTCGTCTTCTGAATCTGACAGTTCTTGTTGTAGCTCAACAAACGGTAGAGGAAAGACAAAAAAACACAAACATGGATCGAAAAAAACTCTTAAAAAATCCCATTCAAAAAAGGCAAAAGAAAAGTCAAAAGGGAAAAAGGAGAAGAAACACAAAGTTCAGAAAAGAAAAGAAATGTTTCATTGGCAGCCCCCCCTGGAGTTTGGTGAAGAAGATGATGATGAGATAAATGAAAAGCCGGTTACCAAGGATGACAAAAAAGAAAAGCAACTTACCAGAGACGTAAAAGATAAACAAGTTTATGAAAAGGATGAAACAGTCAAAGATAAAATGAGAAACGGTGAAGAGTCTTGTGCGGAGGAAAACCTTTTAGGTAAAACCACTGCATGTGACGCCTCACCAGGTCACAGTAACCTTAATAAAGACAGCATTGAAACAAACGCTTCAACCAGCGTTTTGAACTCGGGAATAAATGTGGCTGCTGGCAAGAAGGAGATGAAACAAGATGAAGAAACTACCCAGAACAACGAATTCGAAGATGTTATTCAGACAGATGACAACATGGAGATTTGTACTCCGGATCGTAACTCTCCAGGGAAGGTTGATGTGGACATTTTGTCTCCTGTAATTCTCTCTGCTAATCCTCAGGCTTTAAGTGATAGCATAAACCAAGAGTTACAGGTTGAGACCCCTGAACCAGATGCTGTCAAACTAGGAAACAATATTACAGATTTCGTTAATATTAAAGAAGAAAAAGAAACGGGAAGGCAAGAAAGTAGCTCTGTCCCCACGCCTAGTGCTAAAGACTGTAGTTCAAAAAGTGAAATCCCTGAAAATACACAAAGCAACATGACAGATAATAAATGGAAGCCTTTGCAAGGTGTTGGTAACTTACAACCAGCAACCATTAGTATTGCTGCAGAAGTTAAGAACGTAGCTTCAGTACCAGAGCCGAAACCGGCAGGTTTAAGAATTGAAATAAAAGCTAAAAACAAAGTCAGGCCTGGGTCCTTGTTTGATGAAGTCAGAAAAACAGCGCGGCTGAATCGAAGGCCGAGGAACCAAGAAAGTTCCAGTGAGGAAGAATCTCCAAGTCGAGATGACAACAGCCCCTCCAGGAGTCTCAGTAGGTCACGAAGTAAATCTGAATCCAAATCCAGACACAGAACAAGGTCTGTGTCTTACAGTCACTCGAGAAGTCGATCCCGAAGTTCTACATATTCATCCAGGTAAGGTGTTTGTGCTGCTCCCACAGCCTACCACGTTAACCTGAAAGTTGTGATGGTTTTAAGGCATGTTTTGCTTCTTCAACTCACGTTTTTCTTTTAAACAGCACTGTACCATTTAGCAAGTACAAAATAAATATTTAGCTTGAAAAATAAAGCTTTATAATACTTCTGCTTCCTGTTTTTGGTTTATAGCCTGTTCTGTGCTTTTCAAAGCTCATTGTTCATTGACTGTAGGTCACGAAGCTACACGAGAAGCCGAAGCAGAGGATGGTACAGTAGAGATCGGTCAAGAAGCCGAAGTAGTTCTTACCACAGCTACAAGAGTCGTAGGTAAGTTCCTCTAAATGGAGGTAGTGTTGGGGTGTATTAGAAAACCAATAAATCAGGCACCACAGTCTGGTGTTCCTGAGCCTGTTGGAAACGTGCTTAGCTCTGCGCGCTGCAGTCTGAAGTGTCTGTTTGCAACGTGCAAGTCAGAATTTTCAGATTTCAAAATTTCCTGTTCCTGAAAAATTATAGAATCATAGAACAGTTTGGGTTGGAAGGGACCTCCAAGATCATCTAGTTCCAACCCCCCTGCCATGGCCAGGGACACCCTCCACTAGATCAGGTTGCTCAAAGCCTCATCCAGCCTGGCCTTGAACACCTCCAGGGATGGGGCATCCACAGCTTCTCTGGGCAACCTGTCCCAGTGCCTCACCACCCTCAGAGGGAGGAATTGCTTTCTTAGGTCTAATATAAATTTCCCCTCTTTCAGTTTAAAGCCATTGCTCCATGTCCTGTCAGTACACACCCTTGGAAAAAGTCCCTCTCCTGCTTTCCTGTAGGCCCCCTTTAAGTACTGGAAGGCTGCTATAAGATCACCCTGGAGCCTTCTCTTCTCCAAAAATACTTTGTTTAAAGTTTTGTTGTATTGCTGAGGAGTTCTGAGCGAAACATGTTGCTCTCTTCTCACTCCCCCTCTCCCCCCACTCTCTTCAGCACTTGTTGATTAATGTAAAACGTCTCTGTGTGTTTTTGTGTTTCAGTCGAACCTATAGTAGAAGTAGATCCAGAAGTAGTTCTTACGGTCATCACAGTCGATCCAGGTATGGATTACAGTTTTCTAAAATCTCTGCAATAAATGTACTTGCTATAAAAATGCCCTTTATCTATGATACTGAAAAATATCATGGCAACAACTTGAATCAAAGCAAAAGCAACATAAGTGAGACACTTTTGAAAGCTGAAAATCACCAAATCATCCTGGCATTACAGCAATAGGTGATGATATGAGTTAAATAATATTGAACACGTTTCCCTTTATTGTTACAATAAAATTGAGTTCTAAGTGGAATCACTTCGTTCCTTGTTTTCAGAAGTATTAGCAAACAAGATTTCGACTTCATCTACAATTTGTAGAGAACATACAAAACTACTTATATGCTTAATAAGTCTTTCCTAGCTTAAAATATTTGAGATTATTTGAGCTGTTGTTTTGAAGATACTTAATCTTGTATTTAAACGTCTTTAAAACGTAGAATTATCCTGTTTTTCTTCTTCAACTCACGTTTTTCTTTTAAACAGCACTGTACCATTTAGCAAGTACAAAATAAATATTTAGCTTGAAAAATAAAGCTTCATCCTTCAAGCATAATTCCTGTAGAGCAACTCATCTCCTTTCATCTCTTTGTATACATGTCTTTAAAACTGGTATTTAAAATAAATGGTGTTTTAGGCAAGGAATGTGTAAATTTACTATGGCTTTTCCCTCTGAAGTAGGTCGTACACGTACGATAGCTACTACAGCAGAAGTCGGAGCAGAAGCAAAAGGAGCGACAGCTATCGAAGATCCAGAAGTTACGACAGACGATCCAGGTACGGTTTTGCCAAGCACGACCTTGATACTGCATTTATGCCAAAGAATTTCCTAAATATTAGTTCAGAGCTTCACCAAGGCTAATGTTTTTTTACCCTAAGCATAAAAAAATATATTGTAACTAAAAGCTGTAATTCAAAACAAATAAAATTAGAGCGAGCGTTTGAGCGAGGATCAGAATTTATGACACTCAATTGGGATGGGGAAGAAACGAGGATCAGAAGGATTTGAGAAGGCTCCAGTTTATTGTGTTTGTCCACATGCATTCAAAATTAGCACGTGATTTATTTTTTTCCTTAATAATTTTAAATGTTTCTTAAGCTAGAATGAACTAGCTTTCAGGATTTTCATCAAGTTCCCAGTTACAGATTAAAAGCTACCTGGTATGCAGGAAACACTGTTGGATGGTAAAGTTGGGGTTTTTTTCAGTTACACTGTAAAAGTGAATTAAAAAAAAAAATCTGGAAGGGAAATTAAAAATTATACTGCTATCCAGAATTAACTTTTAACTTCCAAGAACGTGTTCTGAAAGAATATTTTTACCTGCAATCCAGTGTGCTTCTGATGTCACTGTTTGCACTAAATGAATTTAAAATAAATGCTCCTGCTTGGCCCAGGGGAATTACCCAGCTGTGAGTGGGCACGTTTCACAGAGATCAGAAGTGGAGCACCGTCTCTATATAGCAAATAAATTTCAGTGATACTTTGTTGGATACCTTTCACAACTCCCATATTTATCAGGGGTAAATCACGTGGATCTCTGAGACCTTTGCAGAGTTTCATCCTCTGCTGTCCTCGGAGTCATTTTTTCATAAGTTGGTAACAACTTTGAGTGGACTTTGCTCTCACCCGTTTCCCCGTGTAGTTTTGACAGTAAGGCAACTTTTGTCACGTGTTTTGAGTAGAAATTAATGAGATTAACAAAGGATGTGAAAATAGACTTACAAAATCATTGGGTTAGTATGTTGGGAACCTTCAGAGAAACAACATTGGGTTAGGATATGCCCATCTCTCGTCTAGAAAGCTTCCCTTACAGGCACAAGGCTAGAAAATTTCTAATGCAAGTTTATTCTGTGTAATTTAAATATGTCCTGTGGCTTGTCTGAAGCCATCTGGACTCTGTTGTGGTGCTTGGCCAGGTGCTGAGCTTGGAATTCTTCTGGATAAGCCAGAACAGTTTGATCTGCAGCTTTTACTCTGCAGGCACTCACACGCTCCTGTTGCTGTTACAGGGCCTGATTCTTTAGACCCTTCTTCAGACAAAAAACTGCAATATGAGAAGTGAGGATTTGTGGGATTCTATTAGCTGAGAAACACTTGCAATATAAAATTATATTTGCCAGAATACACTGCTCAGCTATTAGCATTTAGAAAAATTGTTATTTTGGGTGATTTCTTAGCTGCATCAGAGAAAGTAAGAAATTTTGTGGTTATGAAAACAGTCTGACTGGAGTTACACGGGGTTTTCATCGTGTGAAATCAGTATTACCTTTTGATTGTCCCTTAATTAATATTTCAGTTATATAAAATATGAACCTGTAAACGACTCGGGTATGTTTTCTTCTTGCCTCGTGTGTGCCTGTCTAGACAAATTTTTTATGTGATGCAATTTTGAATTCAAAGCTCAAAACACAATTTTGAGTCATTTTAATCTTTTCTTTGTAGATCTTATGGCTCTGACAGTGAAAGTGATCGCAGTTACTCTAACAATCGAAGTCCCAGTGAAAGCAGCAGATACAGCTGAAAATGTTTCTTTGGTGATGGAAACTATCTAATAATTTTTTCAGTGTTATGTTAAAAAAAAACCACTGTTTTGACAGTGTCACAAATGAAGCTGAAGGGTGTCAGTGAACTCGACTGACTGTATAGTTACAGAGAGAAGTACTGAGCTCAACTCAACTGATTTTTTCTTTTTTTTTTTTTTTTTACTGTCAAATGCTACTTTTACAACAGAAAAAAAACAGTTGTATTCCCTTGAATTGGATTTTCCAAGCCATGAATGACACTAAAGTGAATTTTCCTCCACTTTTCTGGGTGCAGCAATCAGTACTGTCTTCAAGTAAACATAAAAACCATAGGGCTTTCTGCCTGTTACTATAAAATACGTACTAGCAACTATAAAACTGTGAAGAAAACTTCTTATGAAGGCTGCCATTTGTAGTTTATTAATTATTTTTTTTATGCTGGAGGATGGGTTCCATACTGCCTTGTTTATTGCATTATGTACAGTATATTTACAGCAGCTAGGTGATGAAAACAAAGACTGCCGCTCTGTCTTAGTCCTTGCTGTACTGTGATATTCCAGGAATCTGCTGGAAAGGGTGAGATCACACGCGATGGGGACTGTCGAACCGGCAAGGAGTGAGCAATGAATGAGTTTAGACGAGTTGGATATTGAGATCAAAACTTTTACGTTGAAAAGTGAACTTTGTGCTAAACAGCAATGTTCCTAAGAGCCTAAAAAAAAAGTGTTCCTAAACACTTTTTGAATTTCCTTGCAGTTCCTATTGCAGTGCTTGGCATACTGCGCCACATTTCGAAGTAGTATGTTGTAAACTGTTGAGTATTTCATGTGGTTGTTCAAAACACTTTTTTTAAAAAAACTTACGTGATGATGATTTTTTGAGAAAACAAACCATAATGGTTCCTTTATAAAATGGTTCCTTTATAAAATATCCCATTTGCCATAGGGAATATCAGATACTGATACTGCAGCTATAAGCTATATATTATTAAAGTGATATGACTGCAAAAATACTGGTCTGCCTGACAGAAAAGCATGGACAATACTTTCAAAGTGAAGTTGAATACCAAAAACGACTCTGCGTTACAGGTAAATGGTTTGCAAAGAAAACCATAGATCTAAGCCGAAGAGCATTGAGCAATTTTTGCAATATTCTGAGTTGATTGAAAATAATTTGTAAAGTTTTTCAGTGTTTAGAGAGTTGTGTACTAAGAAACACTTTTTTTAATGGCACAATGTGACCCGAAAAGTGGGGTCTGTAGTGAAAAAACAGACTGACGTAGCTTTCTTGGAGCTACTGAGTACTGTTGTACTACAATAGTTTTCATTACTGACTTTCTGTAACCCTTGAGACACTTCTCATTTTCTCAAATGTTTTCAAATATTGAAAATGATATTTTTTTTTTTTTAAATCTCATCAAGACCTAACAGCTTTGAAAATGAAACGTGGTAATTTCTTGCTTAGACGTCAGTTCGTGCTGTCTCTTTGATACCAGCTATCCAAAATGAGCTTTTGGTACCTTTCTGAAACGTGAGAAGAAAACTCCAAGGGAAGTTTGAAGACCATAATGACGCCCTCCATTTCTGTCCACGTCTGAGTAAATAAAACTGAATTTGGCATACAGCTGCTTCACTTTCTAGAAGAACCCAAAATTCTGGACTTACACCCTTCGTACTCGTGTAGCTCAATTAAAAAGCGTGTGCATGTGATCCTTTCGGATCAGTATTTTGGAAGCTTCTTATGCTTTTTAACATCAAGTCTACTTGTTACTCGAGTCAGTGGACATGGACAGACACGTTTCGAAGAGAGCAGCAGCCTTTTCAGTGTCCTGAACAAATCTCTCCTCGCTGACTGGAGAAGAATGGTTGTTGCAGTTTCACACTTCTAAGTACAGAAGTAACTAATTTCCTCCGTTACTGAGAAATTAGAACTGGTGGGCCAGTGGTGTAACAAAATATACCAATATAAACATTGCTGTTCCATACTTAGTAGAGAAAAAACTGCTCCAGAGTCAGACTTTGGCGTATTTCAGGTTTTTTTTTATTTTTAAGGCCAGGAAAAGGTAATACCAATCTGGTCAATCAGTTAATTGCAGTTGACTAAAATAACTGCAGTGTCACCAGTGTCTAGTACATATCTGGGATTAAAACTTTATAAAGAAATTCCATCTGGTGGATGGGGAGGGGTGTGAGGGAAGGGGAAGGGGAGTATTTCTACTTGGTGAAGTCTGTTTAAATTGTGCTCCCAACAGAAAATGTTCCCCTGAGTTGGTTTTTCTAACGTCGGTCTATGTTTTTTGCAGTTTTGTTATTCAAATGTAGTTGCTGTTTGTAAAATAAACTTTTGTACAGATCTGCAAATGCTGTTTTCTCTACATCTGGAAAAATCCCTTGCTGCTTGAGGGAAACATGCGGGAAAATTAAAAATATACTTCAGTTTCTGTATCCGCTCTTGTAAGACTGCATCCAAGCTGCCTTTCCTTCTCCTGACCTACATAGAGAATGACTCCTCAGCACAACTCTGTACTGGGTTTACATAATAGTCATCGGAGGAACAAATATTTTGAAATTTCCAAGTGATTTGAAGTCTCAGCATTTCCTTCAAGATACAGAAAAGGTTCCCAGCCGTTGTGAAAACATACACTGAGCGGATCCACGCGGAAATCTCTACATGGGCCGAGTTTACTTTGCTAAATGTTCTTTCCCAGATACATTCCCACTTGGTTTCCGTAGCATATTGGAAATGTGGTATTGGTTCAAGTCAGCAGATGTAGTGGCTCAGTGGACTAATCCATTAGTCTTTTAGACCTTCTGCTCCAGAAAAACTGGATTTCTTTGGAAATACAGGCTTTGCTCTAATGGAAAGGCTAATTGCCGTGGTCTAGGGTGAAAAGGACAAGCAGAAACGTTTCCTTATTTGATTTAGACTTAGTGTGATCTGGTCAACGTGGGGTTTCCTAAACTTCGGAGTGCTGTCTTTGAGAAGGAGGCACAAGAAATCCTAGGCAGGAAAAGTAGGAACTGTAGGTGATATGAGTTACAGTGATGAAAGATGTATTAAAAAAAAATAAAATAAATATATATATATTAAGGTAGGGGAAGGGAGAATGGCGACAAGGGACAATCACTTTAAACTGAAAGAGGGGAGATTTAGGTTGGATATAAGGAAGAAATTCTTCCCTCTGAGGGTGGTGAGGCA